TTCTTCCCGCTCTCTCTCACACTTCATCCTCAGCTGCTGCTCTCTTCCTTGGACCACGTCCTCCGCCATCCTCTTTCTCACTTCCTTGAACTTCTGCACAGCGAGATCGCGCCTGCCCTCAGCATCCTTCGTCGATTCCGCAATTATTCGATCCACCTCCAGGTTCCTCCTCGCTTCTTCTCTTCTCAGCTCCTCCAAATACCCCAAATAAGCCAGCAACTCTTTACGAAGAGCAGCGCTGGTCTCCTTGATGCTGCTCTGCTCTTTTGCAAGTTCCTCGGCAGCTATACTCTGTCTCAAGCTGTCCATTTCCTTCTCGTGACGAGCCTGCTCGGCGAGTCTCCTGTTCGCCAGCAAAATCTGCTCCTGCAAGTCAGCCTTCAATCTTTCTCTGTTCTCTCGTTCCTCCTCCAGCTTCTTCAACTCTTCCTCGCGAAGTGTCTCCCATAGTTCCTCCAAAAACTTCTCGTCCTCCTTCCTCACCTGCTTTTTCTGCTCTTCCAGAGCCAATTTTCCTGCTACCTGCTTCGCCAGAGTGTCCACGGTATCCTTCTCGAGCAGGCAACGTCTCTTCGCATCTTCTATTTCTCTCTGCTTCTTTGCTTCCACTTCTTTCAGCATCAAATCGTGCCACAAGTGATCTAGTTCTCTTTCTGCCTGCCTCTTCGCTTCGTTGTCTGCCATCTGGGCTAAGTTGCCTTGTTTTGCCTCGACTGTGGATATTTTCGATAATTTTTGACGGATTTCCGGGTATTGGGCTAGGTACTGTTGCATTCTTTTCGCTGCTACCACGGAGAGACGCTGTTCTTCTCGTTCCTTGTGAATTTCTTCCGTTCTGCGACGCATGTCGTCCATCCTGGCGTCGTCCCCGTGCTGAGCTTGGTCCACTACCTCGCGGATCAGGTTTACTTCTTCTTTTAACAGCACTTCTCGCAGCTTTTGGCGGCGAACGTTCACCGTGTCCTGGTAGGCTAGCAGATCTGAGGAAGTGACAGTTTCGTGCTGGCGATTTCAGGGTTTTAATGTGATTTTGACGAAGAAAGAGGGTTGTTTAGAGCTTGTGTGAAAGTAGAAAATAGGGGACCAAGTGAAATTGCTAGTTTCCAAATTTTGAAAAATTGAACAGTAGATATTGTATTATAAATCTCCATTAAGTAGACACTCGTCCTTTCTCTCCTGCACTCTCAATTTACCAGAGCCTGAAAGAACCCGTATCAAACACTCAGCAACTTCACCCAACCCTAACTTCCTTTTCTCCCAAAAATTACACTCAATTTCAATAATAAAAAGTTCCCAAATAATCTCAAACGACCACTAAAACTTCCTTATACATACTCGTCCACGTGCTCCCAATACCCCAACATCCTTCGTCAATACCTTGCTGAACCCGTTGCCACACTTTCTTCTTCTTAATCCTCCTGTTAGTGAGTCCCTCGAACTCAAGGATCTTCGTCAGATGCTCGTACTCTCTCCTCTTCTCTTCGTCCAAGCTCTCGAACGATTCCGGGACCTTGAACAGCTTGCAGTTCGATTTCTCGAGCAGTCTATAGCCCCAAGTCGCGTTCGGTGTGCCGACCACAGTCGCGGGATACTTTCTCGGCTTCAAAGGACCGCATTTCACCTCCTCCAACGGAAAGAAACTCATGTTCGTTTTGGTGGAAAGGTTAGAAATTGATACACAGAGAAACTGAACGTCACGATTTCACGCGGATCAAAGCTTGAATCGGTGTTTACGGTTACTATGACGATACCCGGCTCTATCGAATTAATATTTGACTGTACGAAGGAGCGGGGGGTTGATTTGCAACCGTGGTCTGGTTAGGGTTTGGTTAGGCTGGATACACTCGGATATGCCTGAATGCGATGGAACGTGACTGGTGCACGCGAACACGTTCCAAGGCGGCGAATAGGTGTTTGAAAGGGCTGCCTCTGCCGTGGTAATTGAATCATTGCTGGGAATTAATGGGCTCCGTTCGAGGTCGATGGGTTTTTTAACGCTCTCGAGTAGCTTCATGGTTTTCGAGGATTTTGCTGTGTGCTTTCTTCAAGTTGAAAGAAACATTCGAAACGCACAATTTTTACCATTCTTCCATAACTCATCAACATTCGTCGCGACAATCTTAACCCTCTATGGGCCCGTGTAACTTTCAAGTCATATAATAATATATCGATATTTTATTAAATAATTGAACTTTCTTCCACAAAATGGCATAAACGTCTTGTTGTACAATGTCTCCTTATTAACCAGTAACTTTCTTGATAACCGTTGTTACTTCAAAGTTACAATATGTATTCGTTATGATAAAATTGTCGAAACTGCTGAATTCACTGTTATTCTGTATTTATAGGTCGACATTTGCTAATTTTACGTTACATAAATTCTTTTACAGTCAAGAAAAATATTCGGCCCATAGAGGGTTAAAATTCAGTTTTGAAATTAGTGAGAAACTGGTATAATGCGTAATTAGAAAAGAACAATTTTTCAGAGTGTCTCGATAAATTTGTAACTTATTTCTTCTACTTCTTTAGATTAATCTAAACATCGCTACTGTAATGTAACAGTCCACTAGCATAATTGAATTAATTTTCACCCATACCAGTTTATATTCAAATTAAGGTCCCCCATATTTCCTCGGGTAGCCTAATGATAATACAGTTTACACTTCCTGGTATTGATTCAACAACCATACTTTCACGCAGTTCCTTCGTAGCACACCTATTTCACACCCAAGTCTACACTCACTCGTCGGAAAATATACGAACCGTCCATTACTCGCTCAGTGAAATTTGTTAACACCGATGTAACGAACATTGTTACATCCTGGCATAAATTAAGTAGGACATAGTAGCCTAAACGTTGTTCACTCCATCAAGTTATGACATAAATCAATCTACCAACAAGTTGTTAATTTGTCACTTGGGAAATTCGAAACTTACCAATCAATACTTTAATTTTCACGCGGCAAATCGTCAATCGTGTCAATTTTTCACTCACTCGTAATATTTTCCAACAGTCCGTCAATCGCATTAATCCTCATGCGACACTAATTACGCACAGAATCATAAGTCTGCACCGCAATAATGTAAGCGACACTCAGAAGCCAGTATGATTAACTCCACTATTTGATATTTTCCCAATTTTAGTATCAAAGCACAGGCTTGGTGCTTAATTTTTCGTAAATAACATTTTGCTACCGAATGTTGTACTGACCTCAACTCTGCATACATGGTGAAAGCGTGTCTTCAATAGGAAAAAAGTCAATTAAGACGAGACCCTTTGCAAAACATATTGTGTGCTCAGTTTTCTGAAGAAATTTTAAATAACCAAGAATTCTTGCGGGTGATTTCTTTTTTAAAGAAATACGTGTAACGATTTTCGCAATTAATTAAGCAATCATTACATTTAATAATAAAAACGCAGAGAAGTCAATTAAGATTAGACACTTTGTAAACTGCGGTCAATTTTCTGAAGAAATTTTAATTAATGCAGAATTATTGCGGGCGATTTCTTCTTTGAATAAATATGTATAACAATTTTTGAAGTATTAGGTACTTAGGAATTAAGCAGTCGTATTTAATAATCAAAGTGTAGAGAGTTTGATTTGTTTATTTTTCCAATGAAATTAAAATGCAATTATTTTTCATTACAGATACCAAATATATCCGTTTCTTCTTCTTCAACAAAAATATACTAAATTTGCCTTCAGAATATCTGGTGTACGCTATAATATTCTTCGTACGGACGAATGAAATATAAATCGTCTTACGGTGTTTGTATTTTCCTTCAGCCTGTTTGTACCAATTAACAATTTTTCTACAGACACTAACTTCAACGATATCCGATACATGTCGTTTCAGTGACGTATTTTGTTCATCAGTGCCAGTTCCGTATTTGTACCGTGAAGAAAAAAAGTTCTTCGACAAAGATATTTCTATTGTTCAACTGACACGTAACTAACGTCATTAGTCATATTTTTTCCCCTCCTCGTCGTCTGAAAATTACGACAATGCTTGGCAAGTCTACCTCCGGAAAATAATTCATAGCGGCTAACGTTGATCGAGGACTGCACGTATACGTGACGAACAAGTGCAAATGGCCGTTCCGATATTCATCTGATATCGTTGAAACTAAACTGACATATTCATTCAGTTTTCGATCAGATTAGTTTATCTCTGAAGTCGGATCTGCGCTATCATTAATCTCCGTTCTTTTCATACATTCAGTACCAGCTTAAAAAGTGCATTAAATTAATTGCAATTAGCATTTGTCGTCATCTTGTTTCCCACATTGCTCCATATATTTTCCATACGGAAATTCGTTACGTACGAATACACCTGTTATTGTACAACTTTACTGGGTTTAATCGTATTAACACATTGGCGTCGGATGACACACCGGTGCGTCTTTCGGGTTTCTTTACTTGAGTACGGATGATGCTGATATGCGTCATGGAGATTTTCATCTGTCTCAAAATAAATTTATAAAACTGTAGAGTAACTGTTTTTTTTTAATTCTACCATACCGAGTACGAGCTGCGTACTCGCTCGACCCCCCGTGGCCTCAGGTAGCGGACAGCGGCTCGTGCGCCCCCAAACCTGCGAAAAGGCTTAACCCTCTATGGGCCCGTGTAACTTTCAAGTCACGTACTAATATATCGATATTTTATTAAATAATTGAACTTCCTTCCACAAAATGGTATAAACGTTTTGTTGTACAGTGTCTCGTTATTAACCAGTAACTTTCTTGATAACCGTTGTTACTTCAAAGTTACAATATGTATTCGTTATGATAAAATTGTCGAAACTGCTGAATTCACTGTTATTCTGTATTTATAGGTCGATATTTGCTAATTTTACATTACATAAATTCTTTTACAGTCAAGAAAAATATTCGGCCCATAGAGGGTTACTAAATTTAATACCCACAATTTCCACCATTTTCTATGTCAAAATTCTTAACTATTTTCCATAATTCGTCAACACCGATTACTACAATCTTAATAAATCCAATTCTCCCAAAAAATTCTGTACTTCCTCCATGATTCATCAACATCTATCAGAAAAATCTTAACACATACCCAATTCTCCCAAATTCCACCTGAAAATTCTCAATTTCTCCCCATAGATCGTCGGTGTCGATCACAGTAATCTTAGTAAATCCAATTCTCTCAGTTTGCACCATTCTTCCACCCGGAAAATTCTCAAACTCCCCAATAATACACCCACGTCGATCACAGTTCTCCCAATTTTCACTCCCAAATTGTCAAATTCTCCTCAACATCGACCACAACAATCTCAAACCCAACCCTAACAATTCCTCCCATTCTTCGACCCGAAAATTCTCCACTCCACGAAGAGATTCGAAAATCTGCTCGGCCACCGAGTATCCTCAGCTGCGTCTACACACGGAAAAGTAATTATCCACGGGGGGGAAATCGTTGGATCAGAGGCAAGAGCAACGATGTGGGCGTTCGATGGAGGCGAAGTAGGAGGTCGCGAACTGAACGGCAAACTGCTAACATTGCGCGCCGTCAGAACTTCAGGACTTCGACGGTGGCTCGTCTTTCAAGTTCATCGAGTTTACGAGACTCCTCGTAGTTCGATTACACGCCCCCGGCCATGGCTGTAACGCAATATCTATATCGAAGTAATCAAGCTCACAATATCCCCGATTTAGCTAGGAAATTTCGGCGGGGCGGCCTGCACACGTCGTGCAGAGAGTTACGGTTCCTCCACTATGAAAGCAAACACCATTTTCTACGATTTCTTCACGTTCAAAAAATATCCTACGGGAAATGGAATCCTCAGGTTGAATTAATATTATTACTTTATTGTAAGTTTCTTACTGTACAATTTAAAATACTTTAAATGCATAGACTTTATTTCTCCAAGCTAAAGTCTCACGGCTGGAACGTTAACCAGAATCTTAAGGGTTGCTTATGATTTGAACCCATTTGGTACCGTTCGAACGAACCCAGAAAAATTCTCGCATCGTAACCAAAATACAGATGTTCGATCAAAGAAAGAGAAAATCTGGTTCCAAATGGGTTAAACTGTTCTCCATAGACAGTCAGAATCTTCTTTCAAGATCAGGTAACTCTCGTGAAACGCTCTCACTCCATACAAGAATAACATTGTTCCTTACAATTGTAATTTAGTCATTTACATTCCACGAACCAGAAATAAAACTTGATCGACGCTTGTCAGAACGGGAATGAAAAATGGTCGATTAGAAATCGACAGAAAACGTCCTTTCACTCTCTTTCCTTTTATCTCACTCTCTCTCTCTGGAACAAAAAAGAAAAGCAATTTTCCCCAGCCACCCTGTCGATCGATCGAACGAGCACACACGATTCCGTCAGTGAACTATTATATCATAGTTTATCTAATTTGCCGATGGATGGAGTTTTGTTTTTCCGCGTTCTCTCGAATGTGAAAACGCGACCGAAAGAGCTAACCACGGGGCTGCAAATCTGGCACCATACTAACCTGGCGTAGGGGATACCATGATCAACGAGGTGGTTCCCCCAGGCTTCAGGCAATTGCGCCGAAGCCTGTAAGTACTCCTAACGTGAGTATTTGTGCGTTAAATTTTTGGTAGAGTGGGGTCCTTGCTAGAAATCAAGACCCCATGCATAATCGTTCCAAAGAAAAACCGTCTTAGAAACCTTCTTCCCGTCGTTCCTCGAACAACCGCGTTGCAACCTCTCCTTAATTAGGCGAATAACCACGAGCGCACTTTTCGTTCTCTCAAGTTTCTGCACGGGGAGATTTAAAGAATTTTTCGTTTCAGTTCAAACACTCCACGACGAGGGCTGCAGAGTTATACTTGGTAAGGACGAGAAAAGAATTTTGAAGAAATCTGGTGCTTCATCTTCCATTTGGATGTGCAGTCGACGGAACAGATACAGCGAGATCGTAAATTGAGGCGTTAGAGTGTTGGACAAGGTGTGGGTCATCGGTGACCCAGAAAGTTTGAACGAAACATCGTGTGAAGAATCTTGATAAGATTTTAACAGCTTGCTGTATTTGGTCCATCGACTATAGGTCAAGTTTCTCCAATCCACAGGATCTAGATTACCAATGAATCCTTGTTTCCAGCTCCTCTAGAACGAATGATCCTCGAATTATCGACAAGAACGACAGCTAAATGTCTTTCCAACCGATAGATTCGACTAGAAACTGGTTGATTCGTGAAAGAGTCCACCTGGTGCACCGTTACACCCGAAAATCTAGCATAGTCCTTCAGAAAAGTATCCAGAAGTGAATCATAAGCCGTCTACAAGTTCACAGTAGCCAGATCCATCTGAAAAATCACCAACCAACCGATCCATCGTCTCGACAACCTTGAAGAATCCTCGGAACTATCTCGAACCAGCTCCAAATCGGAGCATCCATCTCCAGAATCTTCGTACTCTCTACCGCCTAGGCTTGTGATTAAATCTCCTTTTGCCAGCTGCATCGAACGAAACAGCCGACCTACTTCACCAACTCAGCTGCTCTCGCTGGCGGCTGCAAAACACGACCGCGAGGTTCTCTCTTTCACCGGTGTTCCACACGGTGAAAAGCCGCGTTTCCGGCGTACGTGTCGAGCTCGAGGGACAGAAAGATAGTCGGTGAAAGAGGCGGTCGCCGGGCTGAAAGTGTCGGATGAGAGGAGCTTTTTTGTCCCAGGCCAGCGGAGGAAAAGCGTGACGAGTGTGTCGTTACACAAGAACGCGGTTCGTCCAACTCACCCAGTTCCTAGCCGCTGTGTTTCACATCGGCCAAGGAATATATCCTCTCTTGAGACATTGACATTTCTTATTGCGCGACAGCTTAACGTAACCCCCGGCAAGTGTTCCTCGGACAACGAATAGAACCGAGGCTCGAGGGCCGAGGAACAGAGGAGAAGAGGAAACGTTCACAATGCTCTGATGTGTGTCGCGAGAGAGTGATCTTCCAGCGCTGGAAATAGGTCGGTTACTAAGGGGATGGATCGAGTCATCGACCAAGTAGAACGTGTCATCGACGAGCATCGCTGGTTCTATCACCTGACTGTCTTAGGCAGCCGCAGGATTACGCGGTACAGAGAACTTCTGATCGATGCAGCGAAACACTTGCGCTGGCTGCAGTCACGATTCTCCGCCTTCGATCGCGAGGAACAAACGTGAAATTTTGGTGGAGAAGTATTGTTCCTTCGTTGGCGACACGTTCGTGTGCTGAGTCTAACGCTGGCGGTATCGCTCGATTTCGTTCGACCTGAATCGTCGTCAGTGACGCCGAGTGTAACACGTTGACTGCCACGGAAAATTTCATCGTTTCTCTAGCATACCGTGAACTATGACCGACTCGTTCCTTTGAGAATGGAACAATCAACTTGCGACGTTGCTATCATTTTGCTGAGTATTACCTAATTGTAAATTTATGTTAGGCATGTAAATTTTTTCTTCCACAGACTGTACATTTTCGTATTCGGTAATCTATCGCGGTAGTGAGCGTGTTAATCGTTTTGTACCAGGTCGAACAGGTTCTATGGCGCGAGGTATCGGCTACAGGTCGAAGTCTTAACAGATACACGGCGCAATTTGTTCCAAGAGGTGGATAGATTCGCTCGAATTCCGTTCCCCGGTTGATCAATCGGTCTGGCTGCACGGCTGATGAACGTGGTCGAGGATGAAATGGCGCTGGAACGGAGTCATCTGGTGTCGCTGGGCGCGGAGCTCGAGGTGTGCGGACTGTTGCTCCATTAGAAAGGCATTTGCGCCGATCGACGGTGAAAATGTGACTCGATCAGAGTGATCGAGTACGCTGATTGCCGGGCACGATCTCGCTCGAGATTGGGGCTCGTTTACTGGGTTTCTCGGACAATTTCATCCAACGTCTGATTACTTTTTTCAATGTTTCTTTCATTATTTTTTTTTCTCTTTTTTTTCAGTTTTTTTTTTTACAAAAATTCACGTATCTTAGTCGAGTAAGGTGAAAATTAATAATTAACGGAAAGAAGAAGTTGACATCGACGAATCTCGCGGAAGCATATTTCCTAGGCCGGGAAGAATACGTACAGAGGCGAAGCAGAGACTGCACGTTAAATAGAAAAAGAAACGATTCTTCTGTCAAGGTACGTTAAAAAGGAGTACAGTGAATTAAAACGATCTCTATGATATGATACAGACTAAACAGGGTTCGATCGTGATGGAACGCAGTAGCAAAGGCACGAATCTTTCTTATCACGAACCGATGTACATCTTTAAGATACAGCTACGATCCTGTCGAACCGACCAATTCGAACAAATTCGCCCAATAAATACGTGTAAACTGAAGAAATGAAACAAATAGAAGAAAAAAAAAAAAAAACGAAAACGACGCGAAACGAAGGATCGTAGCGGTACAACGAGTCCCACATGCCTAACGGTGGGCTACGATCCTCAAATCACGATCAATCGCCATCCGTGTCTCCAATACGAGTACTATCATTCTCATCCAGCGAATGATATCTGAAGAACGAAACTCTCCAATTGCACAGAATAATATCCTTGTTAAAAAGGATCACACGAACCGTCGAAGAAGGAAATACATTGAGAATCGTAGCGCACAATTCTCTACACTATGATCCTCGGAGTCTCGATCTCGTTAATTTTGCAATAAACTTCTCGGGGATGATAGGGAAGATCGGAGACAGAATCATCTTAGTGTGGTCACCGGCTGACAGATTTCCCTAGCTAAGAATCGCGCTCGTATACGTGCAATGCTGGTAGCTTAATTAACGCTCGAGGGCTACAATCGAAACGCGATACAGACAAACGAGAGCAGTAGAATCACTGGAATCTCTTTCTCTCTTATACGTGGACGAAGAAACAACATCGAACGAATGAAAAGAAGCCGAACGAAATGAGAGAAAAAAACAAAAAAAAAAAAAAAAGAAAAAGGAAGATGAACCGGGTCTAATGTGATAATCGTTCCAGTTAATACTGCTCTCCCGGTTTTTTCCCCTTCTTCCTCCTCCTACTCTCCTCCTCTTGTCTGTCTCCTCTAAGAATAATGATAGTCATAATCGTAATAATTAGAATGATAACGACGAATTATCCGTGGCGGGGCGCTAAGGCGTGGAACTTGTGCCTGTGGTGGCAGACGGCATGGCGGTGGTTGCTGGACCGGAAGCTGGCATCGCTGGCGGCGCGTAAGGGCTTCCGCAGAGCTGGTCCGCGATCCTGCCACCTTCGCGGAGGCCGCTGAGAAACGCGCCGTGAACGGTCGCCGGGTAATTTCGTATGGTGTGCTCGCCTGAAAGAACACAAGTGGTTTCGCGATCATGTTAGAGGAAGTGAAGCATCGCTGGGTGGCTCGGGAGGATTGGATACGGCTGCCGCCCCGCCTTGGGGGATTCTTTCTTTTTTCTTCCTTCGACTTTGAAGAGATGATGACCTTGGTCGATTTGGGGGACCCTAGGTAATAGCTCGAGGACGGGGGTGAATTGCTTCACTTTTCAGAGGGTTTTTGTGGAGATTGCCGGAGGTAGGCGAGTTTTGGGAAGGGAAGATCGTCGGTTATGGTTATGGATTTCTGATTTGTTTCTTGGTATAGGGGAATTAAGGAGGGATGTTTATTTGCATGGGTATGGAGGTATTTGTAGATGGAATTAACCCTAGTGCGTTCTTTCGTTCGACTGTACACTCGAGGTTTTTGGGGTCTTTTTTGACCCAAAGGTCTTAGGTGTAACAATATTTGTTGCCAGAACGCCATATGAACTTGGGTAATGCACTTTCGATGTAACGTTACGGGAACGTAAATTTGATAACAGCAAAAGTAATTAAAAAGATAAGAAAGCGATGGGTCAAAAGAGACCCGAAGACCGCTCTAGGGTTAAATTGATGGAGAAATTAAGTGTAGTATGCCTTCTTACACGTTTTTAGGTAGATTTGAACGTTTTGTTGGGGAGTATTGAGACACCTGGTGAATGTGAAGCAACGTTGATTTAATTTAACATCTAAATTTTGGTTACACGAAATGGTTAAAGGGTTAAGAAACTCCTCGATTGTTAAAAAGAAGAAAGAATTGAACACAGAATGTTCGGAAAATTGCTTCGTAAACGTATGAAAAAGGCATCTAAGTTCTCTTTCAAGCCTAACCCATGTAAAAGTGACGCAGAGAAAAGCACAACCCAGCCCGTCTAGAAAAGATACGATTCACCATCGTGCCCACGGAAATTGCGCACTCTTTAACAGCCGGCAGACGCCAAAGTCCATTTCGTTCCCTCTCTCTCTCTCTCGAAAAAGAGAGTAGAAAGAAAAAAGAAGAGGAGAGAAGGTAGCCAGTGAAAATATTGCGGAGGCTAAATATTTACCTGCGAAGAAGACTCTTGGCCGCGGGGGTGGCGCGCCGGGGGTGGCTGGCGGCGCGACAGGAGCAGCCAAGAGATCGTAATCGCTACCGGAACTGCCGACCGCGACGAAGCTGTACGAACCCCTCGCCCATGGATCTGCCCGCCATCTCGTCACCACACTCTCACGAGGCTGTGGAACCACTTGATTCCCGAAAATGCCCTGGAAAAGTGAATTATTCGAAAGTTAGATCGATTAAAGGGGAATTGCGCGGTTACCAAGTAAGAGTGTCACATAATTGGTGGTACAATCGAAAAAGAGACGATTCTACGTGAAGAAAGTAAGTTGGAAATGTAGAATAAAATTTTCGACATTATTTTATATCGAGGTGGAAGCCTAATAATTGTCAATCTACTTTAAGAGAAAAAGCACCGGTGCTCGTTCATACTTTTCATTCTCCAAATTTGAAATTAACCTATACATAAAAATTTTGAGTAACTAAATTCACTGACAATTTTTTTTTAAATACTGCCTCTAAAGGAAAGTTCAAGAAAAATTTCCCAGGTGTTCAAATTTCAAAGTCAAGCGATCCACAATTCATTCAAACCCTCCAAATTTTAAATTAACCTGTGTATAAAACTTTGAAGTAACTAAATTCACCGAATTCGTTAAATTCGAAAAGTTGCCGAAGTGTAATATTTGAAAATCAAGTGAACAGGATTAAACGAATCAAGGAAGAAACGAAGCGATCCACAATTCACCACCGAAAGGGTTAAACGCAAAGGGAGACGATCGAATTAAGCTCACCTTTAGAACAGCGATGCAACGTCCAACGATCACGTCGTCGCTGACATTCTCCATCACGCAGGCAGCTTCACCAGCGACCAGAGCCAAGAGGACCGGTGCCTTGTAGAGGTTCCAGAAGAGGAAGAGCTCGCCGCGCGACGCGGTCGTACTCCCAACGTGGCCGAACAAATTGGCGGTTGGGTCCCAAAAGATCCGCTCGAAGCACAGCACCACCTGACGTGACGGATTTCCTTGCGTTACTTCCTCGCCCTAGCGACTCTCGCGGACCACTCCGACGATTACTCTCGGCTACACCGCCGATTCGACCCTCGCGGAGTCGCTCAGACCAGTTTCGCGTGCACGAGGATTTTGTACCGACGAATGCGAGTGGAAATGATGCACCGAGTTTCTTTTCGGACGTCGCAATTTCGTAAACGCGGGGAATGGGTTGTGGACGAATGTATTGTGAAAGTTTGTGAGGAAAGTCTGGAGGTTTTATTGCACAGGAGACTTTTATTTGTAGTTTCTTGGGATTTAATTGGAAATTTGTGGGTTTCTATTGAGACGACAGAATTTCGAATATGGAAATGGGGTTGCAAATGATATATTAGATTCCGGTATTTAAGGTGAATTTTTTGGACAGTTGGTTTAACCCTTTACAACCGTGACGATTTAACTCTTTATCAATGTGCTGTTCTATTCTACTACAATGCAAACAATATCACCAGTTTCTCATAAAAATTCGAATCTGTAATAATTCACAAAAAAAATCCTGTTATAAAGGGTTAAGAATGTTTTACAAGTCCAGTAAATTCTGCTTTAAAGCGGCGTGATTGCCGTGCAGCGTGTAATTTAGAATAACGCGATCAAACATTGCCTGGCATCCTTGAAATAATGGAATTCTGCAGGTAGAGAAATTTACACTCGGATAAAGCTTTGCCTACTTTAAGAAGCTCCGATTCGATACGATAAACCTCGCTCCACGGTACACACAACGTATGTAATTTCTCTTCTAAAATGTGTAAGCCAGGAAGATTCGATTAGACGTCCGTAAGCTTGTTTGCCGAAAATATTACACACTCCATGCTGCTGGTAAATCCCTGGATCCAGGAGTTGCTCACGTAAACGTTAAACACACCCCAGTTCCATCTCACGAATTACTCCCATCGCAGATTTTAGAACGTCCTTCGAAAGACCACTTCGACAATTTCCCACAGAAAAACTCGACGCAACCTCTGCATAATTTCGACGTCGCGGTGTGTAACATACTGGAAGTGTTTCGAAGCTCGTATCGCTATCTACAGAAGCAAATTCCCACGAGCGAACCTGAGAGAGATCGTCGAAGACCGAGGAATACATCCCGCGAAGAGGAGAATCTGCCGGTCCCGTAGAATCTTCGATTCGTAAATTGCCCGCGAAATTACCCCGAATTTATACGAAGAGAACGAGCTATCGGTCGAGAGATCCGGACAGCCGTGGACCGTTTTACCGCGCGATGAGCCTTTAATTTTGAAGAGGGGCGCTCGTAAAGCCGGGTAGACCGTAAAAGGAACGTGTCCCAGTGTAAGAAGCGACACGAGCCACGTCACCGTTTCTCCAACCGACGAAAGAGAGGCCAGGCCGCTGCTCGATCACAATATATCTCATTCGTTCGGTCCCCACAAGTCCTCGGACAAGTTCGATCGTCGGTTTCACCGTGCGCATAAATCAGACGAGAGGGATAGAGAGGAGGGCAGAAGGAGAAGAAGGAGAAGAAGAAGAAGAGCAGTGGCGCGCGAGCAAAAGGCAAGGGCGAGCTTACCTTATTTAAATTGCCGAAACCGAGCCTCTGAATAGCCTGAGACTTCCAGTCCGGAAGCGGTGGATTGAAGGTGACTGCTGAAGGAGGTGCGGAAGTCTTCAGAACGCCAAGTGGCAACGTCACAAGGACAGCGTCCGCCTTGTACACCGTGTGATTTGTGTGGGGACTGCGAGAGGGTGCGGCCCACACTTCCACACCGTTCACCCCGTAACGGACTGCTCTCGTCGCGGTGTTCAGTCTGATGTCCAGGCCCTCGGATAGAGCAACAGGTACGCAGGAGTAGCCGTTGCGAACTGAAAGATCGAGGAACAGAGGGGTTACGAGTTGTGGACGTTAACCCTTTCGTTTATCCTTAGATATAAGGTAGTGTTGTGTGAGAGACGAGTGTGAATTTTGGTTTCACTTTGGTGTCGGTACCGGGTGAACAAGATTGTCGAAGCTCCGGCTTCTGTGTGACTTCGAGTGACAGTGGGTTGCACACTATTTTGGGGGGAAAAAGAAGAAAAATTTGTAATTGTTTAAATAACAGTACACAGATATTGCTCTTATTAAAAGAAAAAGAGTTTAGTCCTTGGAATATTAAAATGCACAAATATTTAAGATATCTTTAATATTTCTCTAACACAAGATTTGATAAACATAAATTTCCAGGTAATCTGAGGGACTACACGTCTCTCAATTTGCAGCAGTGACAGAAACGTGGTGAAAATCCGCAGGTTATTCTTTTATCAAGGGTAGGCTATAAACTGTCCTTCGCTACAATTGCGTTCATGAAAGATGAACGAGTTTAACTCGTTTGTATGCGCGGTTAATATTAACTGGGAAGGTGAGGTCGGATTTAGGGAGGGATTTTTGGGGGTAAGATGGTGTCGACAGGGGAACTTGTAACTGGGGTGAAGGTAGAGGGATTTGTTAATAGGTAGGGTGAATGTAGATTGTTGGTTTGTGTACACGGGGTGTTCTATTGAAATATATGAAGGGTGTAATATGTTAATATCAATGGGTGTGGTATTGTAATGTGCTGTAATATAGTGTCGCGAAGGGATATGATTACGAGCAGCATGGAAATTGAGGGAAATGGATGTACCAAAAAGACATTCATCTCGTTCTCTAATATTTGAAACAACAAAAGAATGTTTCCTAGTGTTTCCATTTAGAAAATTTACTACCAATTCAAATTAGAATTAAAACCAAGCACTCCTTATATACTATCTAATGGAAAAATTGACACCTTCTAATCGCCAATTAAAAAGTACCAAAAATCGTAGTAGTAATTTTACAAAAACCGTAAAAAATGAAAAGATTCAAAGGCAGAGGTAGCAAAGTTCATTCGCCTCTCGAAAAAAACCTCGACTATTTAAACTTCAAACTCCTCGCGGTATCTCCAACATATCCTCCTGACTTTTTTATCAAATTCACCGATAGATAAGAAGATCACCACCCAGCATCGCAGGTGAGACGCATTTCCGTGCTCCACCAATTACTTTGAACGATGCGGCCCACCTAAAATCCGCAGGTCCCACGTCGAACCGCATGATTCCCGAAATCTCGAAGCTCGCGATTATCGAAAACGATACACCAAGCCGATATTTTTAGTCTCCCCGGTTGGCCTGTGTGCGTATATAGACTTTCGACTCGCGTGGACCTGGCGCAAAGGTGGGCTCCGGTGAGCGCAGGGTCGAAATTCCGCGGGCCGATGTCACCGGATGCGATAAAGGCTCCATTACCGTTTAATTGGATATTTCGCATTAGCGCGGCCAAATCAGGACACCTGACGCGGCCCTAAATTCTCGTAAGCACATTCGAACCCCATAACATCGGCTGCGCATGTACTAATAATGATACACAGGCGTCTCCACTTAGGGGGGTTAATTATGTTGATGGCCGGCAGCGTGCTAACAAGCGCCTCTCTCTCTCTCTCTCTCTCTCTCTGCTCTCTATCGGCGGATGCCATTTCGGAGAAATTTAAATTTACGCGATCCTGTGCACCGCTTCGACGCCCCTTCCACTCGGTTCATTTTTGAATTATTGCCCCTGATAATTCGGAAATCAGACCAATTTTCCACCACTTCGACGCTTAACACTTTCACCGTCTCGCGTTCGACGTGTCTCGATCGAGCCGCGAGTATCCTCGAGGATTTTTATTCGTGGAAATGATTTTAATTTTGCGCCGGTGTGTATGCTGAGCGGCGAGGATGGGTGGTATAATTCGACAGAGGGTGATTTTGTGTGAAATGGTAAATCATTCTTTGACAGGAGTCTTCGGTTTTCAGAGAAACGATTTGGAAGATTCGTGGGATAGCGTCTCTTAAAAAAGTATAATGTGGATTGCGATATTACGATCGCGTTTTCAAGGTACCGCAATAATGGTAACCTAACGTAACTGTAGAAATCAGCGACATTTAATTACCGATTTTACTATTCGCCTCGATCATTTTTACATAAAGAAATTGATCTATCGATGATCAATGATTTCGAGGCAATCCCGAACCATTTCTATACCCAACCACGGTAAAACACACTTCACACCAAAATTTCCACATTCAATTTCAACCCGGCAACACGTTAATTAACCCTTCCGCTACGAAGGGCGTATGTACACGCTCCGCGCTCGTTCAGCGTACACATACGCCCGTCTAATACCCACAAACAAAGCATCATTATCACCAAAAACAGAGCGGAAATTTATCGCGAAACGTTCGAACCTCGATCCCGCGTATCTCCATCTTCACACCAGCCTCGAATAAAACATCCAATACGCATCGGAGAGACACATCTCCGTCTCAAGCGTGCCGTAGCGAAAGGGTTAATTCTAAACGTTAAAAAACCTGCAAGGTAACCGAACACCCTTCCCCCTTAAACTTTCCTCACCTGTTCGATTCGAGAACGCGATCCGCCTGAACCAGTTCCTCCCGCCTAGAAATTTATCGTCGCGTCGACCGACAGTCCGCCGCCGCCTCGTCGTTTCGTTAATTCGCTCCATTTAAATTCGACGTCTGTTTGGGTGCCCGCGATGGGAGTCGAACGAAAAATCGAAACGAGAGGAGAAGAAGAAGACGACGTAGCTACCAACGTTGCACAATTATTTGCGACGTCGTCGACGACCGTACGACTACGAGAGGACGAGGAACGTTCCGGTACCCAGGGCCCCAGGATTCGTTATTACTTTAATTGGAATCCATTTGACTGGCGGCTACACACACCGGGGCTACTCGCTCGTGTCTGGCGTCGATTACAGAAACCCTTTCTAATAAGCGAGGGAATATTCAACAGCCAGTGAAGGGAACGATCCGGTGCTACCAAAATTATGGTAAGTCGATCCCACCTCCGTGGCTACCACCATCTCCAACCACGCTTTCTGCGTTTCTCTTGCCGCCCTTCTCTCGCCTCTACCTCTCGCTCTCTCTCTCTCTCTCTCGCCTCTTCCTCCGCGCGCACCCCTTCGCGGAATGGGAAATTAATTCCTCGCAATGAGGCGGCCCGAGTCGATGAAAATTGTCCGTGGAGAACGCACTGATCCGGTTTCGACTCTGCCCGTTTTCAGTTATATCTCCTCGCCTTTGTTTTTTTCTTCTTTTTCTTCGGGTTACCTCGGGTGTGTCTGTTGGTTTTCTTCGGGGGGGTTTGTAATTGGTACTTTCGCGAGTCTTGTAACTGTAGGAAATTTGAGAATTTTCTCTTTGTGACGGGAGGCTGTTTGAACGCTGTGAGTAATAATGGGGCTTTAATGTAGTTAAATTGGATTTTAAATTTGATCGAGTTTCACGCGAAAGCTGCAGAACGTAAGCACAGTTTTTGTTCGTAATATGGTTTCACGGTTGAACGTTTTATTTGAAACTGCGCGCGGAATATGTTTATCCAGAAAATTGCAAATTTCTATTTTGTAATCTTTGAAAATTTCGCCGCAAAATCTCCGAAAATATTTGAGCCTCGGAACGATAGCAGGGCAACCGCTCGCACAGCGATTGCTCGATTAGTTCACAGGGCATCTCACGCATAATTAATCTCGAGAACTGAGAGACCTAAGCCCCTGAAACAAGCAACATGTCGGAGAACACGTGCAGCTCCGTTTATTATTCGTTGGCTGGCTGTTTGCTCGCTGGCGGAACACAAGCGTTTTGCTCGAGCATGGGGGAAAACATGCTGTCTTCCATCAGAGAATCATCTCTGAAAAATCTGGCAAACGAAAACGAGAAAAGGGAGGAACAAAAAAAGGTAGGAAAAAACAAACCGGAAGCCCATTCAACCCGGTCCCATTGCCGTTTTTCCGGCTCTCGTTCGCGAACAAACCGGCTGAATTTTTCAACGGGTCGGCGCGAGAGCGCTACGCCACTCTGGCTCGATGAAAAATTCGTTCGCCGCATTTCCGTTCGCTCCGAAACGTCTGCCAGGGGAAACAAGGTCTCGATTTCCGTGAAAGACGGGTTTCATCCGCGCTGATAACGCCGGCTGATACAGATTCAGGCAAGATTTAGAGAAGCACCGTTTCGCGAGGGGAATCTGATAAAACGTCGATTTCAATTATTTAAGAGCTCCTTTTCGAGGGGGTTCCTGTTGGTTTCCTAGGATAATTGTTAAAACGCAGATTGGCAATTGAGGGAAATTCTGGAGTCTCGAGGTTAGTACGCTTTTCTAATTGTTTGTGACATTCTTTGCAGAGAAAGGTAGATCGAGAGAGACTGAAATCTCGAGTTTCACACTTTTTTAATTTTATGTGACATTGAGATCGAGAGAGACTGAAACCTCAAGGTTCACAATTTTTTAATTATTTGTGACATTCTTTGTAGAGAAAGAATGATCCAGAGAGATATAAGAGAAGTTCTCCAACAAAGATTGCAGAAACCTCTGATAGTCGATTAAAATTTAAGAAATTTCGGATATTTAATATAGTAACACAGCCGGTAGGGTTGACAAAAAAGTACACTACTCAAAAATTGTTGGAGAAATAGACGACTCTGCCAGCAAAGGGAGCTCCAAACTTCCCAGCAAGTCACCAACGATCCAACATCTCAACGTCCGCGGTTCTCCAGCGGAAGACGACCGGCGCGTGGTGCACCGGAACCGCCCGGTACCAGGCGAAAGCAAATATTTAACGAAGAATTTATCGGCCTGGCGGAGAAGACTCTGGGTCCGCGGAAGGAACGATCCCAAGGGAGCCAACCTCCTTCTCACTCGCTTTCCCTCACGCAGCTCGTGCTTCTATCTGGTCGGGATCGCGGGGACGACGGTGGGCTCGTGCTCTCGAGCGAGAAGCGTGCTACCCTCTCGCGTCTTGTCTTCCGTTTGATCTTTG